CACGGGGATCTCGTAGGGGGCCCAGGAGTGCCCAGCGCAGGTGGCCATAAAGAGGAAATACCAGCAGGAGTCATCTGGTATGTGACACAATTCCTGACATGCTTTCCCCAGGCAGGGCATGCCCTGAGTTTACAAGGCAAATGCACTTATCACTTCTGCCTCCTATCGCAAGAACCCTCAGCCTGGAAATCCAGGCCTCTCCATGTGGCTTGCTTCCCCAAAAGGTGCCCTGTACATGGCCCCTGCTCCTCCCTGCACACACATGCATACACGAGCATGCACAAAGGCATATGCGCACAAACATACACACATATGCCGGCACACACGGAAAGCACCTGAATAAAAGACAGCCAGCCCAAATCCCAGCCACCCCTCTGCCTCTGCCTCTGCCTACTCTGAGTCCTGGGATGGGTCATGTCCCTCACTGGGCCTCATTTCTCTCCTCTGAAGAACCCCCAGGGATGCTCAGCTCCCCGTCCAGGGCAGTTACAGCCCCATGATGGGCAGCAGAGTCGTCTGTTGGCTCTCTCCCCCAAGGAGGCATAGTCTGCCTTTGAGCACCACCTGCCATGCTGGTAGCCCAGGCCTGCCAGGAGAAAGAAGCAGGTGCCTGGGTGGTCAGTGGCATCCTGCTTTGCCCTTTTTGCAGCACAGATGAAGACCTCAGATTAGGTTGATCTGATCCAGCATGGGAAGAATGCCAAACACCCCCTCACTGAAATGACACATGAGCCAGCAAGTCAACCCTTTCTCCCTTCAACTCTGCTTGTATCAGCAGAGAGGGTCGTGTTTCTGGTGGCTTTGGGATGGTGCCTGGGAAGCTGGGAGGGGCAGTTCCCCAGATCCCCCTCTGCCCATGTCACTGTGGGGAACAGTCTCAGGACCTGGGAGGCAAGCTCTTTGCAGAAGGGATTTTTAGCAGGGCCCTGTTGCCCACATTCCCCTGATGGTAGGCCTAAACCAAAGGGTTCCTAGGAAACAGACCCTCATAGCCAGCCACTGGCCTATGAAGACAGAGCTCAGATGCCCAGGTAAGTGGAGGACTCTTCCAGGGAGATAGAAGTGAACTGAGCCTCCGAGAGCCCACCAGTGTGGAGCAGGACAGCCCACTATGGGACATACTCTCCCACAGGGGGCCATTGCTCTGCATTTGCAGGATTTGATTTTTGTTTGCGGGATTACGGAGCCTGTATATAGTTCCTGATTTTTGCAAGGCACATCTCAGACTTCTCACCTGTTAGCACTCCCCAACATCACGGCCAAGTGGATGATTTTCACCACACCCCAGGTGGGGAAACTGAGGCTTTGGGAGTAGTAGAGACTGAGTTAAGGCCATGCAGTGAGTGACCAGCTGCCCTTTGCTGCCTACATATATTCCTCACCAAGCTCTCTGGGGCCACACTGCTTCCTGGAGTCCCGGGGGTATACCCATGGCTTTTGCCAAGGTGGGTTGTGGCAAATGGGTCACCTAAAATAGGAGACAGAGGTTTTCAAAGAGCATATAAAGAACAAAGGGGTGGGGGACACATGGTTCAAAATCCCCTCTGCAGCAAGCTCTTGTAACTGCATGTCCAGCGCCACCCCCCCGCACCTTCCCTTTTTACATCAACATTCAATCATCTTTTCCCATTCACTTCATCTCTTCCATTTTTATCTTACGCTGCCCGTGAAAATTGGTGTGAAATAAAAAGGCAACTCTGCCTACAGATGTAATCAATTGATTTGGCAGGTAGCCCACAGGCACCTAGGAAGAGGACAGCCAATTTTCAGTGGACATCCTCCCCTGCTTCTTTCTCTTTCTCTACTTCCTCCCTTCCGGGCTCTCTGTCCCCCTCCTTTTATTTTTCTGTCTCCTTCCTTTTGGGCTTCCTTTGATCTTCTTGTTATTTTCTGCTTTGTATTTAATGGAATTAGACCAGCCTCTGAATTTCCCCCCATTCTTTCTTTCTTCTTATTTTATATAACAGACAGCGGAGGAGAAGGTGTCTGCCTTGCCCAGCTTTCTATCTCTGCACGAGGCTGGGAGAGCTCAGTATTCCTAGGGGCCTTGTCAATCTTCCTGGGGAGGTGGGGCCACACTTAACATCTTGAAGGATTCCAACCTCCTGCCCCAGATAGAAGATGGGTCTATAAAGCAAATCCTAGAGTGGAATGGCTCTTCATCATCCAGGAGAGGAGAAAATGTTCTATGCAGGAGGATTCTTTATTTTCATTCATTAATTCACTTATTAAGCATCGCTATTAGCCAGGCACTGGGGATACAGAAATGAACAAAGCCATCGAAGATCCTGCCCAAGTACATTGCCTGGCACATAGTAGGTGCTCAATAATCGCTGGCTACTTTTGGCTATCATTCTTCTGGAAGTATCTATGATAGTGCAAGATATTTACTCATGTTCAATAAATGTTAGTTTCCTCCCTTCTAGAGATACTATCTATGTCATCTGTTTATTGGTCTTGGTTATTGCTTTAATACAAAAAGAATAGAGGAGTAAAATTAAAATGTTCACTCTGGCCTAGTCTAGAAGATAGTCATTAGACACAAATAAACATGTAATTAAAAATTGTGATAACAGGGATAAAGAAAAAGCACAGGGTGATATGGGAGGATTGAATTTAGAAAGGGGTGGGGGAGGAATCTGGAGCCTGCAACTTAAAGAAGCATCATATAACCCAGTGGCTTTCAAAGTGGCGTTCTCTCAGCCACAGAAGCAGCAGCATTAGGAACTTACTAGAAATCTACATTTTCAGGCTGCCCCAGAACTACTGAATCGGAAACTCTGGGTACCAGCCTTTCTAGGTAACTCCAATGCTCCCAAGAATGTGACTACCGCTCATGAAGCTGAGACTGGAAGGAAGAGTGGGAGCTGGCCAAGCGGCGGGGAGAAAGAAGGCTTTCCAGGTGGAGAAGACAGCATGGACCAGGGTCCAGAGGCAGGAAAGACCACCAGTGCTGGAATGTAGAGACAGAGTGTAAGAATCAGACCCTTCAGTGCCTTAGAATGACTGGAAAGGGAGTGTATTTTTTCCTAAGTCCACCAGGAGCCCCTAAGGCCGGGGTCCCAGTCCGTGGCCTGTTAGGAACCAGGTGAGTGGTGGGTGAGTGAGTGTTACCACCTAAGCTCTGTCTCCTGTTAGCTCAGCAACGGTATTAGATTCTCATAGGAGGCTGGGCACAGCCTTGGAGAGAGGAGCCAACTGGGGGATGGGCAGGTGGGTAAGGGTGGGAGGCTCATGAGGGCAGGAACAGCAAGCTCCGAGGTGCTGAGCAAGAGCAGGAAAGGAGACATGGCTTAGTGGGAGGAGGAGGCGAGGACAGGGAGGAGTGGGGAGGAGGCTCGTGGGCCACCAGGTTGATTTTGGCTTTTACACTGAGTGACACAGGAGCCCACAGGCAGGGCAGTGGGAATTCTGACATTCTGAAAGGGCCATTGGGCTGCTTGCTGAGAACAGCTTGTGAGAGGGGCAGGAGAGGGAGGAGAGAAGAGAGCCGGCAGGAGGGCCTTCTGCTACGATCCAGGGGGAGCAGATGGGAGCCTGGGCTGGAGCAGTGGAGGGTGGGATACGGTCAGACACTGGATTGCCTCTGAACTGGGCGCCAGCAGGATCCACTGCTGGGCCAGATAAGGGATGAGAGAGGAGGTTTGTGGATGATCTGAGTGATGAAAAGATAGCACTGCCACTCATGAGGCTGAGGAAGGCTAGGGGAGAGGCTGGCGTTTCTAGGGGAAGGAGTTGCCGGTTAATTCAGTGTTGGGCATGTGAAACTTGAGATGCCATTGTGTTGCTTTGGATGTCCCAAGAGGCAGATGCCAAGACAGGACTGGTTACTTACTGGGGTGGGGGGAAAGGCTGTGAAGGACAAAGGGGAGGAAGCAGAAGCTGGCAGACTCCCATGCGGGCCTGGCCCCCGGGAAAGAAGAGGGGGATGGAAGGAGGCCTGGGGGGAAGAGCTTCCAACCACAGCACAGCTCCCAGAGCGTTCATTCAGGCTGATGGGAGGTCCTTGAGCCAAAGCCTCCCGTGGGGTATCCAACATCCCACAAGTGTGGGCCTGCCCTGGTACCGCCCCCTCTAACCCCATCCCACCTGCTCAGCTATTGGCTGGGAGAAGCCCACATCATGTGTGGCGTCAGCACGCCATAGGGGTGGGCCCAGTGGGGCAGCAGTGAGGTGTCGGTCACCGTGGTCCCCTTAACAGGAGGTGCGAGTGGAGCAATTTTACAGCCGCCACAGGCTATTAGACACGTAAGTGGAGATATCTAGTAGGCAGTTTAGATATATGAGTCTGGAGTTCAATGCAAGGTTCAAGGAAGAGATAAAAATTTAAGTGTCTTCAGCTTATAAATGGTATTTAAAAGCACGAGAATGGATGAGTGCGTGTACAGCTGGCGGGGACAAGTGCTCCAAGGACTGAGACCTGAGGCATGTTTGCATTTAGAGGAGTCAGCAACAGTGGCCAGGGAGGTGGGAGGGAAACCAAGAGTCTGTGCGGTCCTAGAAGTCAAGTCAAGGAAATGCTTCATGGAGGAGGGAGCACTTCCTTTCAGAAAACCGCCCATCATGCTGGTGAGCATCCTCACGGGCCGGGCAATTTGCTAAGGACTTCTTGCAGCACCACACTCCACAGCTCTTCTCCCCTGCTGTGGCTGCTGTGGTGTGCTGCCCGGATGCCCTCTTAGGGCCAACACAGCCATTCTCCAGTTGCTGGGAGTGTTGGCTGCTGATGCTGAAGGTCACACCCCCTCCCTGGGGACAGCCTGTACCCAGGGAGACAGGTTGACACAGCCTCCCTGCCACATTTGGGACACCTCAAATGGACCATCTGGCTTACAAGCTCTTAGTGGGACCAGCTGAAGCCTCCAACGTGGCTACAGAGCCAGGCAGATTCCTCCATCAGAGTAAAGAACCACTGACTGCATGGGGCCGGGAGTATGGGGTGCTACTTGCTATGTCTTATCTTAAAGAATCTGTTGGATGCTTTGGTGAGAAACAGAAACTCACAGACTCTCTGGCCAGTCCTCTGTAAGCTGTGACCCACTTCACCCCCTCCTGACACTAGCTTCCCCACCACTTTTCCTCTTTTCTATAGCACTTACCACCTACCAACCTATGATTTAATTTCCTTATTTACTGGTCTACTGTTGATTATTCATATTCCTTCTTTCCTAGAATGTCAGCTGTAGGAGGGCAGGGACATTCATCCGTTTTATCCACTGATGTATCCCGAGTGCCTAGAATGCTGCTTACTGCATAGGAGGTGCCAATATATATGCAAAAAATGAGTTCCTGATGAGCTGACCTTCAAGATCTCACAGCCCAACTCTCCCATTTTTGCTGAATCCCACCATCCCACATGAACAGAATGAACCAGATCTCCAAACCCACAGAGACAGCTAGGACTTACCATGGTTAGGATGCAGCCTCCTCACCTGCAAGGTGAGATGCCAGGGATGGTTCATGCACAACATGGTCACAAGGAGACATCTCGAAGCCTTTCTGTAATGCTGTCAATGAGGCTGACCCTATGGATGGAATCAACAGTCCAACGTGAGTCTGAGGTCCTGTTTCAGAGGTATCCACAGCACCTAAGGGGTGCTGGGAAGGGGGTTCTTTGAGAATAGCACACACTGAACTCCTACAGGCGGAGAAGACAGACCCATTTTAGACCGACGGCTGCTCTGGAGTAGGGAACTTATTGTGAGATTCCTGTGCTAGAAAAAAGAGGCTCAGTCATTCCTCCTGGTAAGTAGGCATGGCTTTCGGTAGGAAGTCCTGCCTTCGCTATTTCCTAGCCACATGACCTCAGCCAAGTCAAAAAATATCCTGGAACCTCATTATCTGTCATTACCTGTCAGATGGGAAATGAGTAAGATTATGTGTCTGAAAATGTTTCATAAATTCCCAGACTTTGAGATTTCATAGATGAGGAATGTTTCCAGTCATCTGGAGCTGACATAAGGATTCCAACTTTCTATTTTGCCACCTAAGGACGTTGAAACACAAGCAAGCAATGAAGCGGTGGCTCGCCCATCACCACTATTCTGTATCAAAGACAGAATGCACTTTATGCTAAAAATGGAAGAAGGCCAGCAATCTGAACAAAAGATCGTCCTTGCTGCTTGAAAAAAAGAGGTGAGCTTCAAGGCAAAACTCACTGGCTTGTCCTTGATTTTCTCATGTTTCCAGAAACAAGGGATTTTTCTCTGGGAACATGGTGAAATGATGAAATAAGAAGGCTGGGATGGCACACCCAGGTAAACAAGAGAAGCTGCCCGCAATGGAGGTGGACCCAGAGCTTCAGGCTCCCAGGGGCTGAGGGGGTCAAGGTCTCCACCCACCTGACACCCATTTGAAGCATGCTGGGGCACAAAGGTACTGCAGGTGGGAAGCTTTCTGTAGGGCTCCCTGTGGAGGACAGAGTAAAGAGCTTCTCTCCACAGGAGTGGGCTGGGAGCCAGGGCCTGGTTAGCAGAAACACAACATTGATGCGATCAATCCTGAGTGCCGAGCACTGTGCGAAGGGCTTTGAAGGTTACAAGAAGGAATGATTATCATTCGTTTTGCAGCTTGGGAAACTGAGGCATAAAGAGGTTTCCATTCCTTCCCCAAATCTCACAGCTAATCAGTGGCAGAGCCGGGGCCCTAATTCAGCCAGCCTTGTTGCAGAGAAGTGTGTTGAACCACTCACTGCAAGGCATGACCTCCAGAGTGACGGATGGGGTGCTCTGCTCATGCAAAGAGGTAAATTTCTAGCAGAATCCACCCTGATCCTGATGTTCACGGACTGGCATGTTGGGCCCAAGGCAGCCAAGCGACTATGAGTTTCTCACTGGGATGGGTTGGACAGTGACATCAATGAAGGTATGTCCGAGTCCCAAATCCCTGGAATCTGTAAAGGGGACCCTACTGACCTTATCTGGGGAAAGGGCTTTTGCAGAGGTAATTGAGATCTTGAGATGAGGCCTGGGCGCCATGGCTCAGGCCTGTAATCCCAGCACTTCGGGAGGCCGGGCAGATCACAAGGTCAGGAGATCGAGACCATATTAGCCAACATGGTGAAACCCCATCTCTACTAAAAATACAAAAATTAGCTGGGCATGGTGATGTGTGCCTGTAATCCTAGCTACTCGGGAGGCTGAGGCAGGATAATCGCTTGAACTAGGGAGTCAGGATTGCAGTGAGCTGTGCTGTCCTCCAGCCTGGTGACACATCGAGACTCCATCTTGAAACAATCAAACAAACAAAAAAATCAATCTTGAGTCATCCTTGACTTAGGGAAGGCCCTAAATCCACTGAAGGGTGTTCTTATACGAGACAGGCATGGAACAGACACAGAGACACAGAGGGGAAGGCCACAAACAGACGCAGGGGCTGGAGGGAGGCGCGTCTGGGAGCCCAGCCAGGCCAAGGACTGTGCAGCCCGGAAGCGGGGAGAGAAGCCCGGGAAGGGACCCTCCCTTAGAAGGTAACTGTACCGACAACTTGAATTTCGACTTCTGGACTCCCGAGTTGTAGAGAAATACATTTGTGTTGTTTTAAGCCGCCAGTGTGTGGTACTTTTTAAAAGCAGTCCCAGGAAACTCACACATCCACTTTCCTACTTCCTCCGCACCAGCTTCCAAACCTCTCCCCCACGAGAGGATCAGAGAGTCCCGCCCAGCCCCGGAGCAGTGAGCTGCCCCCCCACTCCATGCACCCCCTCCTGTTCCTCACATTCATCCCCCACTGAACCCACCGACAAAGTGCTGAATCGGTGGGTGAGATCCCCATGGCAACGGCTCCCATGCCAGAACCCAGGATTACGACACCGGATCAGCCAGAGACGCGCTGGGGGCCCGGGAGGGGCCGCTGCAAACACGCTCGGCCGAGGGGCGGCGGCACGCGGCGAATCCCCGGGGCGTATGGGATTTTAGAGACGGCACAGGACAAACCCGCGGGGTCGGGGGGTAATCTGCAGGCGCCAACGCCAAACGGCCAGGCCAGGAGGCTCCTCCCGCGTCCTGGGCCCACGATGTGGCCCCTGCGCGGGGACAAAGACAAGGCCCTCGCCCTCCCGTGCTCCCAAAGCCGCCCATCCTCGTCAGGGCGCCGCCCCCTCCGCCGCCTGGGAGGGCCACACGCGCCCGGGCCCCTGAGGATGTCCCCTCGGGGATGCGCCCGACCGGGCGCTCCCCGCCCTCCACCGTCCACCCGCCTTGCTCTGCCCTCGTGGATGCAACCCCCAGTTCAGACACTGGCGGGTGCTCGGGGCCGCCCAGGGCGGGGGTCGGGGACGGGACTCTCTCTGGGCCTCTAGACCCCCAAGGCCCCCGGACACCGCGCCGCGCCCCCTGCCGGCTCCTTCCAACTCCCTCAGGCACCCGCGTCCCACTGGGGCTCGTCTCCGCGGTGGGTCAGCGCTTCCCCGCCCCACCCCCTCCACAACTCCTCTCCACCCAGGCTCCCGTCACCCCCACGGGGGTTCACACCCTCCCGTCCATCAGCCTTCCCCAGCCAGACCTGCACCTTTCCACAAGTCCCCTCCACGCACACACCCTACACTCGTGCACACATTTACACACACAAACCCTCACAGTCACACATTCACACCCTCACAGTCAAATGCAGACACCCCCCCACACTCACACGTACACTCACATATTTACACATACCCTCAAACATTCACACACCCTCACACATGCACACACAAATGCAGACACCCCCTACACGCATACACACACATTTACACACAGTCACACACCCACAATGCAGACACACCCCCACTCATGCATACTCGTGCTCACACATTTATACACACACCCCTCACACATATTCACACACACAAACGCAGACACCCCCCATACTCACACTCATTTACATGCTCACACACACATTTACACATTGTCACACACACGCACATTCACATACTCTCTCTCATACATTCACACACACACCCCTCACACATCCTCCCATATTTACATATACCCTCACACTCATACACACCTTCACATTCACATTCCCACATGCTCATGCTGTCACACACTCATTCACACACCCTAACACATGCACACACAGTCAGACACACATCCCCTCACACACACACACACACAGAATCACATATACACATACACACAGGCACACATTCATGCAGATATTCACACAGATTCATTCATGCACAGACCCTCCACCCCACACACACAAGATCACACCACACAGACACACATAGACACACACGCACACTCATTTACACACAACATATACCAACACACACAGAAACTCATTCACACAGACACACCACACACACGCAGACACACCATAAAAACTCAGACACACCACAAAAACTCAGACACATATATGCCCACACACATTCACACACTTATGCAAGATACAGATACACAGACACATGCAGACACACACACCAACACACACAGACCACTCACTGATACACACCAATGCGCAAACACAGGTACACTCATTTGCACACCACACAGACCCACGCACACACCAGTACACATACTGGCACACTCATACAGACCTATAAACACAGACCCACCCACACTCAGACATACTCATTTGCACACCCACTCAGCAATACACACAGACTCACATTCACACACATGACACAGAGACAAACACAGACACTCTCACACTCATTTGCACACAGGCACATTCACACACACCCTATTATGCACATTCTCTCAACAATGCTTACACATACACACACACAGAGGCACAGGTGTGCGTGCACACACACACACACACACACACACATCTCATACTGAAGCCCAGGCAGTGTCTACCAGCTACACAGGCACTGTGGAGAGTTGAGTGTCCACAGGTGTGCTCAGGTCAGCCAAGTAGGATCTCGGCAGAGGCATCATGAGCCCTAGGGCGCCTTGGTGGCAAGAATGGCCACCTACTGTTTCTCTCCGTCTTTCCTTCCCCTCTCCAAGTCATGCAGCACGATGCAGGGCACACAGGAGGGTCTTCGTGTTTTTTCAGTGAGCAGACAGGAGCTACCCAAGCTTCAGTGAACGTAAGAATGCATAGTGGCCACCATTTCACATTTTGAACTTGGAGCTTCAAAGCGGCCTTGGATGAAACCCCTGGGCCATTCTCCAAACAAGGAGAATGGAGAAGGTCAACATCCTTAATTGTCAGCCAGTATTCCATGTGCTTCCTGACTCAGAGCCTTGATTGACAAAATCCCTCTTCCAAGAAACTCTCCCTGCATCACTGCAGGCACTGTGTGTTTGGCACAAGTAGACTTTCAGCTTTTGGTTGTGGCATGAATAAATAAATGACTAAATCAGCAAGCAGTTTTCCCTGCACCTTAGCACAGGTCTGGGTACAATGACGACCTCAGTCCAGGTGGGGTGGTGGTGGGGTGGGAGCTGCCTTTAAAAGATGGGGGCTCTGCCTCAGAGCTCACTTCTTGGCCAGGCACAGTGGCTCGTGCCTGTAATCCCAGCACTTTGGGAGGCTGAGGTGGGAGGATCACTTGAGCCCCTCAGGTCGAGATTGCAGTGAGCCATGATAGAACAAGTGTCTCAAACAAACAAAAACCAAAAAGAAAGAAACCCGAAAAACCAAAAACCTCACTTCTAAGGCACTTTCTGGAATCGTCCCACCCCACTCTGATCTCTGTCTTTATTGGGCATCTTTTTGGTAAGTAATGAATTCAACCTGAGCCCAATTCCTGCATGGGGTTAGCCATTTCACCTCTGGATGCGTGAGTATGTGTAAACCTATCGCCATCACCTCTTCTCCCATTAATCCGTAATTCCTCCTGAGCAGATCAGGCCGTTTCCATCACAATTTCTTTAGCCATGACAACACAACTCTACCAGCAGCAAGTGTCCAGCCAGACACCTGGGTCACCCCCTAGCTGGAGGGTGCTGGGGAAACTCTGGGGTGGGCAGCTTCACCTCAGATGCTTCCTGGAGTAGATGTTCTGGCTGGTGTCCATGGGGATGGAAAGCGAGAGGGACTTTGTTAGCCACT